TCCTCGGCCCTCTGAGTCCCGGGGGCCCCTCTATCCCACACATCCTGGTCGATGCCCCGGCACTAGATTGGCTCCAGTCCAGGCCAGTGAAGGCGGCACTGAGGCTCAGATGGAGCTCTGCTGAGCCCTCCTTCCCCAGGGCGCGTGAGCCCGAGCTGAGCCCTTCCTTCCCGCCTCTCCCAGAACTGTTTCCTGCTCCGGTGCTCAGAGCCACGCCCTCGCCAGAGCCCCAGGAGGGCAGCGCGGTGACCTTGAGCTGCCAGACAAAGCTGCCCCCGCAGAGGTCGGCCACCCGCCTCCTCTTCTCCTTCCACAAGGGGGGCCGGTCCGTGCGTGGCCGGGGCCTGTCCCCAGAACTGCAGGTCCCCGCGGCCGCACAGGCCCACTCGGGGTCCTACTGGTGCGAGGCCACCACCGAGGACAACCACGTGTGGAAAAGGAGCCCCCGGCTGGAGATCAGGGTGCAGGGTGAGTGGCGTGTGGAGGGCGGGCAGGAGGGTGGCCCTTGCGGGGCTCAGTGTGAGCAGAGTTCACAGCGGACGGAGGCAGCAGCCAGGAGCCGGGTCCCTGGGGACGGCGAGGGTACAGACAGGGGCTTCTCCCTAGACCAGGGGCTCCTCTCCGCACCAGGACCACGCCAGCTCCACAGCTGCTGCTCGCGGGCGACGCTCCCGCCAGGGGCCTGGGCACGTGGAGGCAGACCGCACCGTGTTGGCTCTGGGAGCCCCACTGTGAAGGCTGCTCCTGGCGTGAAACATAGAAGAGGAGTCCGGGGAGCCGGGGAGCCGCGTGGCAGGGATCGGGGGAGGGACGGGAGGCTCTCGGGCGGGCAGTGGCTCACGCACAGGGTGGGGCCAGCTCCATGAAGGTCCTGCCCAGAGGGCTGCGTCCTGTCCTCAGGGCAGGTGCCACCCATATGCAGGGAACCGGGAGGATCCCTGACGTCCACATCCCTCACTGACCAGCCTCCCTGCTGAAGGGTTTCCCATGTGCCAGGAGGGACGCGGGGCCCTTGAGTCTCCGCCACCCTGGGCAGTCAGAGCGCAGGAGAGACGGCGGGGAGGGGAGGCGGGCTGGAGCCGGGCTTCCGAAGTCACTGTAAGTGTGTTCCCGCCCCACACGCAGGTCCCTCGAGCTCTGGTGCACCACCTACCTTGGACCCCGCTCCTCCGAAATCCGCAGCTCCAGG